AGACTTTGGTTCTTTCAAAATATACTTACGTTTGAACTTCGTGCAAAAATCAAATTTATAATCAATTTACTTTTCATAGCTTTTTAATACATTTACGTCTATTATCTACGCGTAATGAAAGTGAGATATTAAATTAATCAATAAGCATCTGATAGTCTTCGGTTTCTATACAGTTTCTTGTCCGTTTTGTTCGATTTCATGGCATTCATAATTTTCCGTTACTATTTTACACTTATATTAATTCGCGAAATAAATTCCTTTTTAACGTGACTTAGACTATGTTTATTTAAATATTTTTTTTATTCCACAGGTACGACTCATTTTCTTGACAGAATAGCAGCGGAGGAGACATTGAACATGCATTCGTCACAGCAATATCGCAAAAAGGTATTGAAAATTTCTAAAAGTCGAAAAATATATTCCCAATTAAGTCGAAATCAGAGACAGCGCATATTACGTGAAGTAAGAACAAATTTTCATAATGTTTCCCAATTTTCACCATCTCTTCAACCACTTACTTGTGATATTGTACCTGTTGGTACTGAAATACCATTCTTTCGATCTCATGTTCATGAACCTTCAATGATTAATGAACCTGAACCAATCACAGATAATAATCCAGATGATGTTATAACTGAAGAAAATAGTACGTCGCCACTACATGTTGTTAGTCATTGTTCTATCTCCACAACAATTCACACCAAAGAAAATTTTCGGAGAGAATTAGCTGAAATATTCATCCGTCAGAATATTAATCATCAACAAGGTGATGCAATTCTCAAAATATTAAAAAAGCATGAATGTCATGAATCACTTCCCATGAGCACTAAAACTTTGCTTCAAACACCACGAAAGCCAGCTGTTATTCATCCTATTGAACCTGGCGAGTATCTCCACATAGGTTTAGAAAATGCTATCATATCATCTCTGCGAAAAGTAGTTGATAATTCTTTACCACAACATTTGGAGATAGACATTAATACTGATGGTGGTCAATTAAATCGTGACGGTATTCTGCAAATATGGCCTATTCAAATAAAAATTTGTAATGTCCCGGACTGTCAACCAGAAACAGTCGGTATTTATTATGGGAAAAAAAAACCATCAAGTGCGGTTCAATTTTTTAGCTTATTGGTTAATGAAGTGCGATTATGTCACACAAAAGGTGGTATTAAATTTGAGAACCAACTGATTCCATTTTCATTCCGAACATTCATCGCTGATGCTCCAGCTCGGGCTTTCGTACTCAATCACTACGGCCACAATTCAACAGTCCCTTGCTCTAAATGTAAATTAGTTGGAGCAAGTATTCCAATACAAGGGAGACGATCAACTGTATTTATAGGAACTAATTTTCCGAAACGAAAAAATTCAGAGTATTATCAATGCCATGATGGCTCTCATCATAATGAAGGTTTGTCATGCCTAATGGATCTAGGTAAACTTCCCGTAACACATGTCCCATTTGACTATATGCATTTAGTCTGTCTTGGAGTCATGAAGAAAATTCTTGAGGCGGTAGTAAATGGTAATTATTCTTCTTTTTGTAAATTACCTAAACAGAAAGTAACACTTGCATCGGATCGCTTGAAATATATTATATCTTATTGTCCACGTGAATTTTCGAGGCATCCTGAAACATTAATACAATTTACAAAATATAAAGCAACTGAATATCGACAATTGTTACTATATACAGGAATTGTTGTGTTCTCTGGAATCCTGAATGATGTTGTTTATCAACACTTTTTACGTCTTCACTCAGCTATGCGTGTTTTAATCAACTCTTCATCTTGTGATAGAAATATTAGATACGCCAGAACTTCACTGAATGACTTCATCGATATTTGTCCTGATATTTATGGATTAAAATTTATGTCTTATAATATTCACGGATTATGTCACCTGGCTGATGATTATAAAAGATTTGGATCTCTCGACTCGATTTCTTGTTTTCCATTTGAAAATAATATGAAAATATTTCGTACTTTGCACAGAAAACCTGGTAATTTTCTTCAGCAGGTCCACAGAAGATTGACAGAAAGTTCAAAATGTATTAAATCAAGGAAATTAAAAAATTCGGAGCAACCGACTGTTCTTTATCCACATAACAATGGCCCATTACTCACAGCAGCACAATTTAATGTTGAACAATATAGATCTGTGACGTATAAAAAACTATATTTTTCATTAGATCAAAAAAATAATACTTGTATTTTAAAAGATGACGAAATTTGTACGATCGAAAATATTATTATTAAAGATAATCAAATCTATTTAGTAGCTAAATTGTTCAAAACAATAGAATCTTTTTATGATACTGGCCTTTCTTCATATAATTTTGGCATTTTCAAATGCTGTGATTTCGAAGAAGGATTGCATTTAATACCTATATCTAGAATTCGGAGTAAAGGATTTAGAATGCCTCTTTGGGAAGACTTCAACGAGAGTAATAATAATGAAAATGTATTATTACCTGAATCATATGTAGTGGCAGAACTTCTACAATAAGTTGCAAGAACGAATAAAACTCTAATTTATATTAAAAGGCGTTGGATCATGGCTATTTTTTTATACTGGTAACTATTATTGATCAATTACATTATTCACATCATTCTATGATATTTTATGTAATGTATGTATATTAATGAAACGAATATGATATAGAGATACTGTTAACAATTGAAGAAGTTTCTTGAAATGTGTGAATTAATTTCTTCACTATGTGCTTCATTTCAGAATTCAAATACCAAACGAAGACCACGTTCGCCATTAGATGATGATAATACGTTTCAAGCTATCCAATTGAAGTTACAAAATTCTTCTGATGGGATTAGAAGAAAATTATCTCAACCTATTTCGTCCACATCGAAAAACGAAAACAACAGACCATCAAAGCGTCCTAGACTCCAACATGATGATTCACCATGTTCAAGTCACTACTCCACCGACGATGATGAGCTGAGTGATAATAATGCCGACATGCAGAAAAGTGTCAGCAATGCTTTTCGTAGGCGGGAAAATGCCAACAACAATACACGCAATCAGGAAATTTCCAAGAACGATCTACGACGGCGAGAAAATTTTAATGATCTTCGCAGGCAGGAAAATGTCAGCACTGATATACGCAACGGTGACAATTCCTGCGATGATATTCGCAGCCAAGAAAATGCAAACAATAATGAAGAGAACGGATTGAGTGATAATGATTCCCCAGGTGGAAATCGATTAGAAAGTCATGAGGAAGATGAGGAAGATAATGATAATCCAATAGTCTGCATCCAAAATATGTTAACGTACGTATGAAATATGTTCTCTGTTAAATTTTGTTTGTAAGTACATAATATTAACGATTTAATAAATTATTTTTTTTTACTATGTGCAGAATAATATACCGGCAGATGAAGAAACAAGAAAAAACTGAATTGGAAATACAAGAAGATCTAAGTGAAATTAAATCTCGCTTGGTGAAGATCGAGGAATCTTTAATTCAGCGTCGCGGAAATGTAAATCGTCCAGTCACTACGAAACCCGACTGTATCCCGATTACGTCATTAGAAAAATTTAAAGAATTTGAGACTATTGCTAATACTGAGTATAATAATGTGGTAAGTCTTACAAAAATTCATTGATACTGTTTTTCTTTGTTCTTAAATCAAAATACAATTTTAAGAAATAAACTAAAATGAGGTCTTTTATGCACAGGTTTCGTATTTTACACAACTTGGTGGGTTCAGTATGGAGGACTCAATTTCCTTTATGATGAATGTAAGTCTGCAAGGTTCCTTTATTAAGGAGATAACGTGGACTGGAGACAAAGAGTCTACTCCGCTATATTCTTCACGATTAGCTACGTGTATATACGGTACGGAACTTTTGAATAAATTTATTTTCATACTTAAAAGTCGAGAGAAATCTAAATTGTAATATTTGCTTTAGATGTTTTATTAGATAATCAAAATTTTGAGGCCCCAACAATGGATAAATTTAAGGCAGCTATGATGGCAAAATTACGATCATTAAAGGAGAACTTACGCCAGAAAGAAAAAAACAACAGCACGGCCAATTCAAATACGGGCAGGCGGAATCTTCAAAGAGAGCACGAACGAGAGATATATAATAGAAGAAATAATCATTCATAATTTTAAATTCATTGAAGCTGTTATGAACAATTAAGTAATGACAATCTATATTAATCAATTGTTTATCATATATAGTTGGATAATATTCTATCTTTTATGTTTTAATGCCTATTTAAAATGATGATGAATAAAAATATCAATCTATAAACGTAATTAATGTGTATTGTAAATCATTTCCCAATCATATACCAGTAATTAATTTAATAAATAAATTTTCGATAAATAATTCATACAAATTTAAAACAAAAAATAAACAAACTTGAGCATAAATTTGTAGACAATATACCTACAATTTTTATACAAATTGAATCGAAAAGTTGGTGACAATTTGTTTACAAATTGAAGTCATCATTTTGACATCAATACTTACCTACAATTGGTGACAATTTGTATCAATAGATGGCAGCATATTTGTAGACAACTTTTGGACGAGTTTGGTGTCAATTTGTGTACAAATTGCTGACAAAAGTCCATCTGGGACTATTTAAATACAAGTACTTTATTTTCATAAAACTTGTATACTTATTACTTCTTCAACCGCTTGTAGTCTACTAAGGTGTGGTATATTCTGTATTTAGACTCAGTATTTTTTTTTAATCATTTCAAAACGAAGTTTTACTGATTCCAGGTACTTTCTTTACCTGCCTTCCGAAACTTTTTTACCTATCACTTTTATACTGGGGACAAGTAAATTCTATAATTCGCCACCGGAAAATATTTCTGTCAGTGTAGAGCCATCTGTGTGCCAGAGTACAAACTAAAAAATTGTACACTACACACATCATGTGGCCAGAATATCAACAAAAAATTCGTGGCGACACGAAAAAGCCACTTCTGGACTTCTAGGTAAGACAGTATTCTTTGATTACATTCCAACAGGTAGTTATGAACGAAAATGCACCGCGTTGTGAATTCTATTGTATTATTTAACAAAAATTTACATAATTAGTAAGCATGTGTTACATAATCGTAATAAGGGCATACAGGCCTGGAGATGAATTGAGCTGTAGTGAATTAATTACTGAAAGTATAATGTCCTCTAGACATACAGTGTTTATTTCTAATCTGTTTAAAGAGTTAACCTTTGAATTGATGGTTTTGTGTGCTGCAATTATGTTTATTTTCTTTGGCATGCCATTCACAATTTGCTTTCTCGTAATTCCGTTTATTATTATAGTTACCTACATTATGACCTATTTAGGCTTTACTATAATAGCCAACGAAGTTAATCAAGAAATTCACAACATATCTAGGTAGGTAGCAAATTATCCTTTTTCTATTATTATAATAAAAACCTTTCAAAAATTTTTTCTGCAGATTTTATATGGCAAATGCATTTTCATGTTTCTGGGTGGCTGAAGCTTTTGAGCCTTATTGGATGACTCAAAGTCCTAAGGATGTCCGCTATATGATAATGAATGAGCAACAATTCCGTGAGTCACACGTTGATGTATCTTCCAAAGCTAAAAAAATAGTAGGATCTATTGGATTAGTAAAAAGTCATAGGGTTGAAAAAGGAGCTTGGATTAAAAGACTTTGCGTTCGAAACAGTTATCGACGTAAAGGCATAGGATCAACTCTTTTAAATACTGCAGTGCAATTTGCTATTGACCAAGGATACAGTTGTGCAGATCTTGTATTTTCAGAATACACAGATGGTTGTCGTGAGTTATGTTTTAAGAAAGGTTTTGAGCTTAAACAAATGTATCACAAACCAATTATAGGACCAGTAGTTAATGTTCTCCAATATGAATTAACATACCAGATAAAACCAGAGCATAATTACTTTATAAATAGTTTTAAACATAAATATTTTTAATTCAATAATCACTGCATTTTTTGCATTTGACTGTTATATTAGAAATTAACTTCTGAGAATATTTTTGTATCTAAGTTTAGACTATCCTTAACGAATTGAAGAATCTCAATTTTTGGATAAATATATTTATTCATAAAATAAATTTCACATTATTTACAAATTGCTTAATATTCTATGATTGTCCAGTGCATTTTTACACGAGAAAATATTAATTTATATAAAAAAAGACTCTTATATAGTTTTTTATTTACTTGTATTCTCAATTTGTGCCTGGTAAGCCATAATTTCTTTGGTTTCCCAATGAGATCCTTTGATAGTTTTTAAATATCTAAAATTAATTAATAAATATTTAAAATCATAAACGTAAAAATGAGTATATAAGACTCATAATTGTTATTTATTATTTCAATTATTCAAATATCTTGTTTTTCTTACTTTTCTTGAATCTCACTTAGATTTTCTTTTTCTTCTGTTGTAATTCCATCTATAATTAGGCTAATGTTTGTTTTTAACTGCTTTAAATCCTGTATTCCTATAAGATGTGTGTCCACATTTCCAAACTGAATAGAGTACCAAATAGCAAGTCGAGCAATATCCACATTGCGATCATTACAGTACTTTACTGCATTTTGACATACATTTTTGACTTCATCATCAGCAGGATGCCACTCAGGTGGACCTTGATTGGTAAATAGTCCCATTGCTAAAGCAGCACCATTTATTACTCCAATATTTAGTTTCTATAAAGACATTATTGAAATAAACTTAATATTTAATAATGATAGATCTAAGAAAATATAGAAAGTTAATTTCAATAATTTCACCTTGAAAAATGGCAAATATTCATGTAGAGTATTATCTATCAAAGTAAATCTCGAGTACGTTAATACACAAGAAATATTGATATTGCTCTTTTGAATGCATTCTTTAAGTGTAGAAATCGGATATCCAGTGATTCCTATAAATTTTGCTTTTCCTTGAGCCACTATTCTTGATAGCTCCGGAAGAGTTTGTGTGATAATAATGTTTAATGAAGGTGCAAATTCTATATCATGAACCTATCAAGAGAAAATAATGTTTAATTAACTCTGTAATAAATCTAACTATCATACTCAGCAGTGCTAATGAACTTTACCTGAATGACATCGACGTAGTCTACTTGAAGACGTTCTAGACTGTTTTTAAAGCTTTTTCGTGTTTTATCGACAGAAAAATCAAACATTTTTTCATAATTTAATTCATATCGTCCAACTTTAGTAGCTAAATAATAAGCTTGTCGTGGAATGTCTTTCAGCGCCTTTGGAAATTAGTTGATTAGAATTATTTCATCAAAAAAGTTATTATTTGCACTGATACCTTTCCAATAACTGTTTCTGAACGACCTTGACCATACCAGGGTGCAGTATCTATATAATTGATGCCACATCGAAGAGCTTGCTTAATGGCTTCGATAGCTTCATTTTCATCGTATAAACTGTAATAATCGTTGAAAAATCATGATGATTTTATCTTTATCCTATAGAACAGAATAAACTTACCCATAATGAAAGCCAAGAGGCCCCCCTCCGTAAGATAATTCACTAACAAGTAATCCAGTTTTTCCTAATGTATTGTATTTCATTGCTTTCACAGCTTCTAAATCATGGAAGCCTTCTACGTAAGTTGATGGAAGATTCTCCCTGCAAGTTCATGTTTAATGTTATACTCTAATTTATGATTTAGAAAATAACTCATTGATTTTGTCATTCTTAGTGCTCTAGACATTATTAAAGTGCTACGTAATGTTAAAGATTTAAAATAATGGTTATATCTCTAAAAAGATTTTTACGAATCACATTCTTATCAATAATTTATAACTATTTTTAATAAAAAAAAGTACTAACATTTGTAAATAGGTCAAAAGTACTTCTCTAAAGTGTATATAACTTTTTTAGAAAATTCAAGAGAAATTATTGTATTTACTTCAGTTTTAAGTGCAATGCTAATAATAAAGTCAAGCTTTAGATTAAATTATTATTATCAGCTTAGATTATGTGGAGTAGATAAGAAAAAGATCTTAAATGGGCAAAATTATGCACTGACGGAGAATATTCCTCCGTGAAGTCAAGCTCAATCACTAAAGTAGTCTTCACGTAAGGATAGAATATTAATAATATAGTTTTCTATATTAACTGTTAATAATATGGAAGTTAGATTATCATTTATCCGAAGATTATCAACTTGGTTCCTCGATTACTTACTAAAGTGCTTGATAATTATTATTTTTCATTTTTTTGCTTTCATCAGTAGCTTTGCATTACACAAGTCTGTTGATGGGAATGATACCGATTCCCAGAGAGGATAGACGAACATAAAGGCTCAAAATAAATGGGCGCTTACAAACAGACCTTTTACACGTGTTAGCCGAACTTCTATATCATATGGGTAAATGCATACCTGTTAACCGAAACTTTGTCAAGATTTCAAACCCAGGGTTGAGCTTTTATGGTAGTCTCTCTTATCTGCCTATTACCTTTCTATCTGCGAATCTTGTAAGTAATAAGTAGTAACGTAAGTTTTCAAGCAAAAATAATTTTTAGAAAACTTTGAAATATTAATACTGAAATCATTTAAGAAGGTGAATTAAATAAAATCTAATTTTTCATTTTTAACATTTGTTTTTATTAATCATTATTAGTATAATATGAAATATATATATATATATATATATATATATATATATATATATTTTTATATATAGCGATTGTTATAAATTATCTACAGTCATGTATATGTGTGTTTGTGTTATTTATGGTATTACAATAAGTTACATTTTAGTTGACCTGATCGTGACTCAATCGCATTTTCCTCTTTTATAATAAATAAATTATTACCTATATAAAACATTCATGTACCATTATTCTTACGTGATATTTACAAGTTTCAAAGGGAAAGATTGTAAGAAATAACATTTGTCAACTTCAATCTGCTGTTTTGAGCTTTATAAGGTATTTCAAACACCCCCATATTCATTGGTTAATCACCGTACAGGAATCTATTTCTGTAATTTTTTTCTAATTTTTTTAATTATATTCTATAAATGCCTCCGTAGATTCTTATACTGATATGAATAATGTGACTCTAAGCTTTCTAGTCGCCAAGCCTAGGTTTTTTTTATTACAACTATATCCTGTGTTTGGTAGAAAAACAATGAATAAGGTTCATAATTATTGTTTGCTCAAAATTTAGATCGTTTTTGCAGCACTTATATTTGTCAAAGCTTCTTTATTACTTCTTGTGATTTATTGTGTATTTTTTCGGTCTATACATTCATCTTAGAGGTTTCGTTTCACAAAACCCTTCGGTCAAAATTTTTTTAGTATACTTGATATTTTACATTATTATGAGAACTATTCTGTTACCTTTAATGAGATGTTAAATTATAAAAATAATACGATATATATTTATCCCTTGCAGTGACAGAATGGTTCGAGAATTTTAAAATTATTATAATAGTTATTATTATTTTTGGCCTGAAAATTTATTCGCATCATTCGTGAATTATTATATATTAATGATGAACGATGAATTTTCAGCAATTATTTTAAGATATAGACCCTAAAGAGTTTAAACCAGTATTTGCAGTAATTCAGTAAGTTAAATTACATTTTCCGTCTGTTACTTTATGTTAATTTTATTCGAATTGGATGGACTCTTCATAAGACATACACACACAAGATATCGAATTTTTATATTTTAAATAATATAAGTACGTTTATTGATCTGTTAAATGCATTTTTTAGAAAAAAATAAATTTTAGAAATATAAAAAACAAATAATAATTGAAAAAATTAAAAAATCTGGAATTTTTTTTACCATTACCTAACTTATATTATAAATTAGATGACTTTTATACAATGTATCTTCTAACAACATATCAACTAACTATTCTAAAGTTGAGCGATTACATGGCATCAAAGTTATCTAATTTCTTATCTAATTTACTCTCACTTTTACCATAAAATTTTACAAATATTAAAACGCTCTGAATGCGAATTGATATAATCCTAGTGTATTATATATTATACCTGTATTCACAAAGATATATCTACAGTTAAGAGATAATAGGCAACTTTTTAGAGTGAAGAAATGATTTTAGTTACTAGAGAACTATTGTCTTAATTAAGATCGTTCATTATACTATTTAAATGATTAACAAAGAACAATTTTAGAACTTAATTGAAGACGATGGGAATAATTAGGTTCTATATAAAAAAATTACAACTGATTAAAAAAGTTACTTTAATTTGTTGGAAGCATCTAAAACACAGATGAACGATATCAACATTTAACTGCTATATAAACAACATACTAACATGTTCTGAATTATTGATTAATAAAATATTTAAACGAAGTACGATTTATAGGACAGTCTCCTATTTTTTAACCAGTATAGCGTAAATTATATAGAATGTAAATTAAATACTAGTGACTAATTTCATCAATTAACTTTGTACAATCTATACAAAAATCATCTGATATGATTACACACTTTACTTCGCTTTTATATTATTAATCGTTAGCATAATATCAAATAGGTATTTTTTCCTGGAAGAGATACACGGTCAATTATTTCGCGTCATTGCGACTATTTTTTTAATGATTATTTTCCTTAACACTTAGGAACGTTATATCGAAAATAATTGTTGATTATTTTTTATGATGATGAAGAATTTACAGTCTATTGAAAATAAATGCCACATTTTTCTTCTCAATTCTCGATTTTTCAATGATAATGTCTTATTTTTGCCAGTACTAATGGCTAAATCAATGACATTTGTAAAGCATTTTTGCGTTAAAATTTATTATCCGAAATATTGTTTACATTGGCAGCGATTATCTTAGGATAGATTAAGAGCAGTCTAATTATAATTTCTTAGAATTAGTTCAGAGTACGCATGAAAATGATATAGTCAGTAATGTTCTACATTGTTAAATAGAAATCAATTTCAATAGTACTCTGATTCACAGCAGGCCAACAACAACTTTATTACAATAGTGGGTATATGTTCTCTTCTTGGCAAGATTTGTGACCCACTTTGTTTGAGTTTTCTACCACGACGACGTCGTCGACAACTTTAGAGAATACTTAACTCTCACGGTGATCACTCAGTCGTGTGGTTTCAGTCGGACCATTTGGATTAAACAGACTATTGAGTTTATTGTACCTTTGACTCCCCGTACTACTCATCGTATTTGAAGCTGAAGAGTTATGTTGTGTATAACCACCAGTTCTTGAAAAACTTGGCACTTTATCTGTAAAAAAATTGCCACTTAGTTAAGAATATTCTAAAGTATTTCTTGATTAATTTACTGTCCAAAAAGTTTATTAAAATTTACCTTTGCTACGAGTGTGCCTAAGTCTTTCTTGAGAATTGACAGGACCACATTGTCGTTGAGGAATACACGAGTAGTTACTGTCACTGCTGTAAGTTGGTGAAGCCGTACGATTGTTCTTTCTACGAGGACTTCTGTTGTTTCTATTCCTCGAACTATTCCTATTGTTGTGACCACAACTACCAAATTGATTATTATATTCCATTGTATCAGCATAGAGGCAGCTCGATTCTGAGCAAGAACAACAAAGCTCTGAATGAGTATTTGAATCACAGGATTTTCTATCCCATTCCTCATTTTCAGGTTGATAGAGACTATCATTTCTGAACATATCATCATTGTGACGATAAACTTCGTCATTTACAGAACTTCGTTCTAAGTGCGAATTTGGATGATTTGGACGGCTATATCCTGAATCATGAGATCGATAATCATTAACTAAGCCATTTTGGTGTCCGTAAATCACGGAACCGCTTTCGTATTCATTTTCTGGATTTTTATAATCATAATGATTAAAACCTTGAGGGAAAGATGGCACAGGAGGTGGATTAGTTTGAGGTGGTAGAGTTGTATATCTCCCTTGTTGATGATGTCCATGATTTCCATCATGTTGCGCAGGCATGCTATTCCAAGGTGTTGGAGAGGACGAGAAATTATTTCCTACTCTTAATGGCGGAGTTGGTGGACTCTGTGAATTCGACGAATTGATTCCATCTAAATCATTCTGGACGTTTCGTTTGCCTAGATGAGGACTGAAAGCTGCAATTTGCTGTTGCATTCTTGTAGATAGTGACGTTCCTGTTGGAGGTGGATGCTCTGGCGGTGGTGGAAGCATATCGCACCAATTAGGCATTCCACTAGTTTGATTCTGTTGATTCTCACTAGATTGCATTCTATACTGAGGTCTTCTTTGCACGTCAACATTTTCATCAGTATATACACTACTCGCATTGTCACTACTAGGTGATAAGGTTGATTGGTTATGATCTTGATTTGAATCTAAGTTTGAATAGTCAGGTTTCATACAAGAATCACTGGAATTAGATTTTTGGCCGCTTCCTTCAACGGAATCAGGACTTCTATTTCCTACACATAGTGTAGTTGTAGCGTATGGCTCTGGAGGTGCTTGTAATTGTTTTCTGGCATTATGAAATGTTGTTAAATTCACCTCAGCATATTCAGATCCAGTCATGCTTATAATTCCGGGTGCAATCATCTGTTGATTGTTCAGTAATTTAGTTTCACAGTCTTTATCATTAGAACTTTGTAGTGTATTTGTTGGTCGCCATCCTCGTTCTAACCACAAGGTATCTTTATTTAATTGACAAATGTCATTAGCAGTTCCAACTGGAACACTGAGATGTCCAAGTTGTTTACTCATAGCTTGTCGTCGTCGGACATAGAGCACACCCACAAGTCCAGCAACTACTGTAAAGACCATCGTGATTATTAATACTAAGAACCATGTCTCAGTTACTACGGATATGCCTCCATGACTCGGGTCGGTTCTCGGTGGCAGTTGTGTCAGTTGTCCCGGATCCATATTTAACAAAGTTGGACTGGAAAATGGTCCAATGCCTACTCGAGTTAAACCCGCAACACGAGCTGTATATAATCCTCCAGTAGTTAAACTGTTTATGATAACTGAAGTTGTTGATGCATTGAGAGACATTTGACCAAGAACCTTGTTGCTGCTATTACTCTTGATTTGAATCTTGTAACCAATCAATTCTCCATTTTGCTCATGTTTTGGTGGTGGTTCCCATCGTACAAATGCTGAAGTCATGTTTATCATTCCAACATGAACGTTCTGGGGGGATCCAGAGGGGATGTCTTCTAAAGTAGTTGCTAATTTGACATTACTCGGTCGACCTTCTATCGTTTTGTAGAAGGGGACGAGAAAAAATTCGTATAGTGTATATTTTTTAAGGTTTGTTAATACATAACTAGTAGCCCCAGCATTAAGTACAGTAACCATTTGATATTCTGGTTTGTCCGAAATTTCTCTGTATCTAATGTAAAGACCTTCAACTAAATCCGCAGCCCCAAGGATATCCCACATAATCTTGACGCTTGTACTGCTCAAAGGCTGTACTTCTCGCAGGTGGAGTATCTCACTATTAAGTCGATCTCTGGCCCGGATTAACTCGATTTGGGGCACTGAATACTGATTCTGGCTTGCAGTATGAGCGACGTCGGACAGTGGTCCTGGGAGTGAGAGCCCGTGGCTATTTTCCGCACGAACGAGGAACACGTATTTGGTATCAGGTTTCAAATCCGTAATAGTGTATATATCTTCAGTGACCCCAGTGGCTGCAACGACCCATCCAGTATTCAAATTACTGCTGAAGTACTCGATATTATAACCAATAATTTTGCTCTTGCCTTCATAACCCGGACTCCACGTTAGTGTTACTGAAGTACTTGTAATATTGACTATTCGAGGCTTACTAGGGTTTTGCGGCAAAGCTGATATATCAGGTGTTTTATGAAGAGTTGTTGAAACACTAACAGTTAGTGTAGCCGACCAGGATGTATTTCCAGAGTCAGAAGATGCAATACAAGTGTATAACCCACCATCAATTGCTTGGAGATCGTTGATAATCAACGTACCATTGCTAGACATGGTAATTCGATTGCCCAGAGAAACTAGGGCACCATCCTTGTGCCATTGCACTCTTGGAGTAGGTGTGCCAACTGCACGGCAGGGTAAGTAAGCGATGCTCTTCACAGGAAGTGTTTGATTTGCTGGCCCCAATTCAATTATTGGTGGAGGTACTTCTTCTACAGGAGTCACCTGTAATGTAAAAAAATTTATGAGAAATTTCTATTTTTGAATTACTAGTTTATCAGTATTTGATCCAGATCGATCATAAAATTGCTTTACTGTACCTGTAGAAAAACCGTTGCTGTACTAGCGCCTGCTTGACTTATTGCGCTACACACATAATGTCCCTCATCTTTTTTAACTACTTCTTTAATATGTAAACTACCATCCTCATTGATTGTGTACCGTCCTTGGTACACATTACCCGGAAACATGAGCTCTTGTGATCCCTCTCTGGTCCAGAATATTGACGGTTTCGGTGTACCATGGGCTGAACATGCAAAGGATACGTCTGAGCCAGCACCTACAGTCTCATCCTTTGGAAAGTTTGTAAAAACTGGTCGAGCTGAAAAAGCAAGACAAAAGGAAATTCTAAATGTCTACTCAGCAGACTCTAATTAAATCACTTTTTCCATTGTCCGTCTTATCAAGACAAAGATGAGAGAATTTAGCAGAATTTTGTTGCAGATTTTAATTGAACTACTTTTGAAACTCGAGAAATGATAATAAAAGGACATTTAAAAAAACAAAAGCTCACAAATGTTAGGAAATATATTAACGCTTGTTCGTAATTGACTTAATTCATTGTTAAACTTACTTTTAGCAAAATGTTTGAATAATGTTAATTATTTTAATTTAAATATTTATCTTTATATTGAATGTTAGAATATGTCTGAATATTAATTGTTTTACTTACATTGAACAACAAGTGTTGCACTTGCTGATATCGCTCCAACACCATTTTCTGCATCACAAATATAAGTTCCTGCATCTTGAGGAGTTACTCGTTCAATTCTAAGACTTTTATCATCTAAAATATGTCCACGACCGATGGGCATTTTTCCGTCATGTCGTCTCCAAAGAATTTCGGGTGGAGGATCACCACCAACTCGACAAGCAAATTCAGCTGTTTGATCCACTAAAACTGTCTGGTTTTCCGGTGTTGCAATAAAATATGGCTTTACTAAAAATAATCAGAAGAATAAATGTTGGATGTAAAATATTTTGTTGAACATTTCATTAAAAATAAAAATAATTTATTGAAATTTACCTTGAACAGTAAGAATGGCAACAGCAGATTCTTTATCACCAACCAAATTATGAGCAACACATTGATATTTTCCTTGGTCTGTTTGTCTGACATCAGAAATCATGAGGTTTCCACCATCAACTAATGTAATTCTGTAACAATCAAAATTAGTACAATTATTGTTAATTTACAACAAACGTAAAGCTTCAATATTGTGTTCTGACGAGTGTTTGAATGTCCCTGGTTGCTAGGAAGTCTCTTTGCCAATACTAAGCTATATCCAAGCAGATTGCAATTAAGCCCAGTTCAAACTCATGGAATGCCGCGTTCTCTCTGATCCAGATAGCCGGTATCCCACGCCTCGACACCGCCGTAAAATCGATGGATCCTCGATTGTGTCCTCTAATTTATAGTATCAATTAATTCCACTGACGGCATGCAAGCTATTGAAGGTCCCTCGGGCCAACTGTGGTCGTTGCGCAGCATTAACGTTGCCGGATTCAATTTCTATCAGTTACTCTAATTTATAACATCAGTTCAAGTTTGAGCATCAACGTCATTAACAAGATAGTTGTGAGAAAAATAGAAAAAAAAAAATTTTGTGAATCGTCCAGTTTTTTGCCTTTTTAGGTCAATTGCTGTCGTTTTATTCGGTTAGATATTACAGCACCACTTGGAAGAAATTCTGATTGTTCCAGAATTAATTAGCAATGTTATAAAAATTACTTAGTTACTTTTAAAATGCAAAAACTAGGTAATTATTAAAAATGATAAGATAGCAGAAAATACTTATTCGACATCGAAGATTGACACAATTGAAAATTAATGGAAAATTGAGAGATGGAAAAAGATAGAGTGTAAAGTTTTGTGTATCATCCACACCAGAAGTAGAATCTAAATAACGAGTTCGTCTTCTGGCGCGATGGGTGAACTGGAGATAACGCAGCAAGAATTATGGAGGACATCCTTTAGCGCCATTCTCATGCAAATGTGCAGTAGATTACGGGCCCTTGTGTCTTCGGATTATTACCATTGGCCGTAGCTTCTCGAAGCTCCAGTCTTACCTCTTATTGGCCTCAGCTAACTCTTGTGCAAGTATCTTTACCACAACAAGAGCCTGAATTCCATCGCGGTGTAAGAACGAGAGAGAAATTAATCGTCGAGAATTATTCAGGCAGCTCAAGTGCTTTCACCCGTACCCAACTCTCTCTACATCATAGGTACTTACAAGAATTTTAGTGTCCTCCACTATATTTCAATTACTATATACCTCTTAATAATTTTTGAAATTCATTACAAGGAAAAAATTTTAATGACTCGAACAAGAAAAGTGGTTTTCTCGAGTCGGAAATCTCTTGTGGATAATCTCTCTCTCATAAATCATCATAATAGAAATTATCCTTATATTAATAAATATAAATAATAGTCTTTGCGCAGTTTAAGGTAATAGAGGAATATATTTTACTATAAAGAGTCAAAACTGAAAAAAGGGCTTACCGTTTAGTTCCTTCTAAGTCTATTACATGGCCATTTTTTTTCCATTGTAATGTTGGCTCCGGATGACCTCGAGGTGGTCCACACTCTAGTAAAGCAGTTTCTCCAGCTGCAACTCTAGTATCCTGAGGCTGTGCTCGGAATTCATCTCTCAGCACTGTAAGTACGACAACAAATCAATTAGTTATGATAATAGCATTGGTAAATATTTTTTAAATACTTTGAATATTGGAGAATAATTCATACATATATTTCACGAAAAGCTAAAAATAATAAAGAATTATCAAAAAGGAAATTTGAAACTTTTGACTTCTTGATTATCAACTTTGACTAATATGGAATAAATTTTAGGTTTGAATAATTGTAAGGCAAAGCTGAAAGCTTTTGTGATTGCTTCAAAATTTATCTGGTCAGAGTCTAAATATAATTTATATTAGATGAACTGGCTAGCAGCTTATCACTGTCTTGAGTTCATGTCTACCAGAGAAGCAATTAGTCAGCTTTAATAAGTTTACGTACACACTTTCCTACAATCGATTGTTTCATTTACAGCTAGAGAATGTTGTTTTAGTTTCCATTTATTGTCTTTATCATTTTCAAGTCTTGGATAAGATCTATCGAGCTTTCTGGAGGACAAAGCAGAGTAATCTCAAGTTTTAGAGGGATATAAAGGAGTTGGATTTGAAAAGCGGAGATGGGTATCGAGTGCTGGTCGTACGATTTCGACGTAAATCGATTGTAACACCATTTCTCACTGCAATTCTAAAAGAAGGAGGACCAAAGGTTTAGCCCCTTCTTTGCCCTTGCTCCTTCTCTCATCCTCTTCTCTTTCTTACATGCTATTTCATTTCTACCCTCCGCAGTTGAGGGTGAGGGCTTTCAATGCACGTATATTTTGAATGTACACATTCATTCAGTGTACATATATACATACTCGTGACCAAGTTGGATTCGCCTTTGGCTTCGTTTGGCTTAGATTCGCCTTGAATTTGCGTTTATCGCTAGTGCCGACGTCCTGACGTATACCATTACCATTTATCACGAACGATTTCGAAACATTTACAAAATGCGTTGGTAGAACCTGACGCCATCTCACAAAAATTGTAGAATTTCTCGCCAGGATCTTATAGCTTTATCGCTTTTTCAGGTTTATTTCATTGAATGTTTGTATGTTGCTGAGTTTCTATTACTATTTGTCGTATTTTATGTTTTTCAGGGATTTCAAAAAATTTTTTATTTTAAGAAAAAAAAAAAAAAACAATTCAAGCTAAGAACTAATTCAATTTTGAAGAACATTTTTTAATAATAAAAAAATTTCTTTCGGAATAAAAAAAAATTGGCCGTAATTATTAATTATATTTCAATAGTACTAAGTAAAAAAAAACTGAATTAATGAGAGAATAAATTAAGAAATTTCAAAACATTTAGTAAAAGTTCATGGAAATAAAATTAGATTATTATCAGCCAAAAATAATTATTGGAAATATGTACATCCATATAACCGATATATTATTTTTTTTATTATTTTGTTTCAGTTCATATGGGATAAAATTTTATAAATAAAAGAATTAATATATTATATTCATAGTTGAATTCAACGCAATAATTTTTGTTCTAAAAGTTAATTAATCAAAATATTCTCAATTATTTTCAATAAAACTAGTAATATAATAAATAAAATGAACATTTTTATTAAAAAAATATAGCTCCGTAAACTTCAACTATAGGCACTTATTAATTATAATCAAGTTTTTTCTTCATATGTCTTAATAAACATTAATGAGCATGAGTGTAAAGAATTGTTTACGTTTTTCTCCGATAATCCAATAACACAATTATTGAATAGACATAGTAAATAAAAATAAAACACAATTTGGACTCAAAGAGATGATGAGGTATTGGAGAAGTGACCGAAGCAAAGATCGCTGATTGTTCTAGAACAGAGAGTTGTGTAGATATTCTATTGTATTTGATGGGAGCTAGTGCCAATTATGTTTGCCCAGTTATTTGAGGAAATCGATATTGTGCATGGATAGAGAGACTTGTATGCTATGTAAGTACATATATATGTATGGGTAATCACACAATTTATTCATTTCAAGATAAAAAAAAAATATGAAGAACAATGGATATGACGACTTTACATCTCACGATATATTTTCTATTACCCTTTTTCACCTTACAAATTGAAAATGGCTTTCTATGAAGTTGAAAAAATAATCAACTAAAAGTCTTTTGACATTTTTCGTACTTTGTCTTTCCATCAGTTTTAATTAACTAACAGAAAGCCTCACGATGAAAAATGTTTGTGCTTCTACCAAAGAATAAACTCATATAGCTTTAATCGTATTACAGGAAATGAATTTACTCCATTTAATAGTATTTTAGAGTAAGAAAGAGATTTTTTAATATTAATGAACTTTTTTGTCAATATATTATATTATGTGAATGTGATGTTATTAGAAAAGATTTTTAATTTTCAAAGCAAATATTATTTATTTAGATTGTGAGTTGTTTAAATAGTATTTTTAAACAATTCAATAATAATTCAATAAATAAAATAAAAATAAATTCAAATATTCAACAAAGTGGGTAGTGAAGCTTTTGAATTAAATCTATATTTTTATCTCGAATGTGAATAATTTTTTCATCAGTTTTGCATTATCTGTTATTTTATTTGTTTATTAAATAAAGAAATATTGATTGACTAAATTTATTCATAAATTTAAAAAATGTATAAAAAATAAATTCCAAAGCTCTGAAAGTAATTAAATCATCATTTCAAAAAAAGTCCGAGTGAAACTATTTGTTATAAACTGGGTAAATAATAGAGTTTCCAGATGACTAGAATCTTAGATTTGGTGTTTTGGATGTATATACGATGCATCTGACAGATGCGATAGATTACTTTGGAGATTCGCATCGTATAAGTCACGCCGCGAATAGGATTCATCCGGACGTTGGATCTCCAACACGATTTCTGCATTCGAGACACGCGCCAGTCATGACGAACGGGCGACACGTGACCGTTTTGTCTGTATGTATTGAGGAAGCAGACTCGGGAAATCGGCTGCCACAGTGCAAGCGAGAGAGGAGTGTTGATGCACACTGGGTCATGACCGGGGTATGGATTGTTCGGTGCAATCGCTAGACCTCTGCTATTGTTGTATTGTGGATGATGATTGCGATTTGATAGACTTTAGTGGGCAATGCTTCATTGTGTATCTAGTAGTAGGAAGTCTGATGGAATCGGTCTCGCCGGATCGATCAGTTAAGCGTGAACAGTAATGGTTTAGTCATGTGCTGACAATTGTTCTCAGTTATGGTCTTAGGAAGTTACTTCTAGCTCTTTGATGAAAAAAGTCTTTTATTGAACCAGGAAATTGTAACTAATACTACAAAAATTAGAGCGCATGACTGACAATTTTATTTGTCCAGTTGGCTCTTTGGTATCTTGGCTCCATAGGAAAAAATGTATTGTCACTTAATCATTCATGCTGTTTTTGAAGATTAAAGAGAGCTCTTAGAATCAGGTGAGTTTGGAGTCGTAACATAATGACACAAAAATGTATGTATTGTGTTCAAGTGCAATGAAATTAGATATCTAATGTCATACCTCTGACTGAATAAAATTATTTTGTATTTCGATGTAAATATGAATAATAATGATTGAAAAACTTCTTCAAAAAGATTACTGAATATAATTAAAGACCAATTTGTTTTTATTATTTATAAATTCAAAAAATATATTATCCAAAGTATTTATTAAAAAGATTTTAATACTTAAAATTTATTGAATCTCAAGAAACCATAAAAAATTTTGCACCAAAGAGAGATGTTAGATTTTATCCAATAAAATCAAAAGAAGTAACCAGAGTGTTTGATTTATAGGTTAAATTCTATCAATAGACCTAAGAAACGACAGGTGCGTGACCCTCATTACTAGGAAAACACGTGGCTGTAAAATTTGTTTTTTTTCGTAGTTTAGAAAATAGAAATACTTGTCATACAAATTTGTAGAGGGAATATTTACTTGGTTGGATGTCTAACTTAAAGAGAACTAGGGTAAAGAGTTTGCTTAAGATTGTAATGCATAAAAGACGCCAAAAGCCTCTACAAGTTGGTGGAATATAATTTGGGAGTACTCTTAGCCTATTTCCCCAAGATATAAGTATATATATTGTAAAATATTTGTATGTCTCTATCTGTGAATATACATACTGACTGATTATGAAATGGGCGTGTGGGCTGAATTTTATTGTTCATACGAAAAAAAAAACAAGACAAATTTTAGATCACTCTCGTCAGCATTATTTCGAATGCCGAACTCGTTCACGCAAATACGTGACTACTACCGATTAGCGTCAACAGTACTCTATACGTTTGCATCAGGGAATAGAGTACACGGTGCAACAGCGTACCACAAGTAGTGAACAACCAAGAGCTAAACCAGTAATGCCAGCGCTTGGAGGGCATTTGAATATCTGTCTCTGTTCCACGACTATACGTAACCACAGCTCCATTGACTTTGCCGGATTAAATTGCAGATTTGACTTGCTCGAATTTACTTAATGGCGAAAATTATTCACCATCTTAGCGTAAGCTCCCGAGTATCTACTTTTCTAAATCATCGTAGATTGTTAACACACGAGGTCAACATCACACATTACTATTGTGTACACAGAGAGCTTCACATTGTAGAACATTATACTTTTTTCTGGTACTTAGGACAAACAACGTTATGATAAAATGGTCCTAATCTGCTTGCTCCAATTCCATACTTCCTCTGAATTGTGTAATCTTGTGATTACATTACCTGAAGAGAATAACTTCTTTCTATGGCTTTGTGCTCTCTTCTGCTCCATTTATTTTAAGTTTTCAATTTTTTATCATTTAACTTAAATGGAGATTAAATAACCAATTAGCTCAATGCTTATGGGAAATATTTTAAATTAAGATTTGTTTTTAAATAGTTTCATTTTTATAAAACATTTTCATTCTGTTTTTATTTTTTATTAATAAAAATATTACTAAAGTTTTAATTTTGTTTAATTATTGCACTTTTATTCCATCTCCATTTAAATTATCTATTTATTTATTATTAACAAAATCAATAAAACTACTTTTATTAAAGGATTTTATCACATCATTTTGTCT